GGTCGGGAGGATAAAATTGGTGTGCTGCCCAAGAGAAGCAACCTTCAAACGCATAATCAGTCCCTGCATGTGATCTCCAAACGGGGAGGAGAGGGAAAGTTTTTCGAAATCCTCCCCGCAGTAGAATAAAGACGATTGAGTTAGGGTAATGTGCTAAAGACTATTCATTGCGTGTGTTGCTAAGTAGCAGGATAATTCTGAGTTTATCGTGAGGTTTTATTGGTTCTTCTTGAATATAGCACCATGAAAACCCTCACTAATATTGTATATAAGGGGTAGGGTTGTCATGCCTATGTGAAAGGGGCAAATACCGCATGCTGGGCATGAAAAAGGGAAAGGAGTAGGGTATGTAGGTTTATGACTTGCACGTTTAACTTACTCAGTTATAAGGATCACGTGCCCTTCACAATTGCTCCCCTCGGTATGCTTGTGAACCTCAACAGCCTTCACAGGCGAATTATAGCAGACAATAACTCAATAAAATCCCAAAATTTTGGTACATTTCCGATGAACAGTTCAACGTTTTAGAATCCACAGACAGGGAACAGTGGCTGTTACATTCATATTGCGCACATTATATGCCTGCCGCTGAGATGACAAAAAAGCTGTGGAAGTTTCGATGACTACGAGATACGTCACACTAGGGCCACACCCTCCGGGTTTCAGTGCTGTTAGTGATTGTGAACCACCACAGGCTGCTGGAAAACTGAAAGGAGTGAGAGAGAGCACAGGATTCAAGTTACATCAGAACTTCTTGTCCGGAGGGCAGAGCAGGAGTAGTGGTGCTTTTCGAGAGAGAGAGAGTGTGTGGGTTTTTGTATGCGAGGCCGTGCCGCGGTCCTGTTGGTCATTGTAAAGCAGAGCGAGAGAGGTAGCCAACTAATTATGCATGCAACGCGAGCCCTGCCGAGTGTGGTGTATACGTGCACACATCTCGCAGACATATTTTCGCCCGAAAAAGCACCTGGTCAAGTTATACTTTGCGCTCTCCTGTGACTGTTGTTTACTTGACGCTCGTACCTTTTACGTTGAGGCCGGGATCTAGAGACTTAGAGGTTACTGTCATTGAGAAGTAGAAGACGACTCGATCGCTGGGACAATATGTTTATTCGCCTGACGTTTCGAAATCCGTGGGGGATTCATCCTCAGAGACATACTCACAGAACTCTGGCAGAAGCATATTGTGTGTGTATGGCTCTGATGATGAATCCGCGGCAGATTTCGAAACGTCAGGTGAATAACCATATTGTCTCAGCAATTGAGGCGTCTTCTACTTCTCAAGTACTTCCTGGGACTCGCATGTTCGCTTGTATTAGCAAGTTACAGTCTTTCAATGAACGGAGAGAGATTCTTTGTCCCAAACGAGGTGGCACTGGCTCTTGGTAGCAAAACAAGTGAAAAGCCACAATCTGATAGCGGTCAAGGCAACTATTTCGTGTAAAAACGAGGGAAAGTATTAGAACTGCTGTTGTGTGTGTATGTGATAAGGTTGTTTTATTCAAATAGGAATACGCTCTTCCTGAAACGTCCATCAAAGTAAAACACGCAAAAAATTACTAGGCAACTACAGTAACCGAACAGGCTGAACGAAATTCTAACAGAGCCGCCACCTATTATTAAAGTTACACGTTGAATGAATAGACTCAACCAAATGTGTTCAGATTTTAGAAAATTGAGTGTTCAAAGCATGAACATGCTTATGCTTATAAAATAGACTATATAGTACTTTCCTTGTATGTCTGAATTCGGCGCAGGTGGTACGTCGAATATAATGGTAGACAGTTGGGAAACTCTATAAAAATATGAGGCCGCATCTGAAGCGTTGTCTCCTGCAGACTATATTTCAGATATCTTTCAACATTCTGTAATGTGCTATGTACATAGGGGCAGGTACGAATATACAAAGCAGATAAGGCCAAGGGTAGTTCACCTGTATTCCTATTCTCTGTAACCATCCACATATCCGAAATAAAGAGTGAAACAAGAAACAGAGATGTTTCGTATAAACTAAAAGGCAGGCATCCCAAGAAATGAACTTTCAAGGTAAGGTGTCCTTTGGGAACATGAGTAAGTTTATTCAGTAACTGTTCGGCACTGAATCCTCAGGTCATCGTCAGACTTGAGAAGAATGTGCAAAGAACAGGTACCATTTCAAAGTGCTGATACAGTTACATAGTCGTCTTGTGTGGGCGTTAATTCGGAGTTGCAATTTGCGTCACATCGTGGTGGACATGATGCATGGGACAAAACACGCATCGTCGGAGTTTGCCCCTCCAAAGAAGGC